CTTGTCTACCTCAACCTCGATTGCTTTATCAATTTCTACTCCATGATGCCGAAGTCGTTGCTTTACAGGCTTTTTGAGGGGGTCGACGTTAAGTTTGTGTTCCATGACATCGGGGTCGATTCCTGTTAATTCTTCAGGGGAAAAGGCAAATATGTCTCTGAATTCTTTCAACAATCCCACCAATTGTCTGCGCAATTCATCCTCCAATTCTCTCTCGACTTTGGTGGTCTGCTCCTCTTTTTCCCCGATTTAAATTTCCATCAGTTCTCCACGCGGCTCAAGGTCGCTTTTCCTTTGTCTCTTCTCACTCGACATTGGCTTTTTTTCCTTCCTTTACCTCCGCTCGTAGGTTTGTCCTTACTGCTATCTGGTAACAAGTTCTCGATAGCTTTTGGTCTCCTCGGGCCTCTCCTACTTTATCTCCAACGGGGAACTTTAGCTTCATGTGGTAGGTCGACACTACTGCTTGGAATGCGTTGAGCGCTGGCCTTCCCAGAATAACATTATAAGCCGACTCGACGTCGACTACAACAAATCGCACCATCTTTACTTTTCTTAAGTCAACTTCCCCAAGGAAGACAGCGAGCGTGGCTTCTCCTAGGGGTGCGACTTCCGAGCCATTAAACCCAAAAAGCGAGGTGTATAGGGGCGTAAGCTCGATGTCGAGTTCCATCCGTTTGAGACAATTGTAAAAGATCACATTCACTGAACTTCCTGTGTCGACAAAGATCCTCTGCACTTCATAGCCTGATATTTGAGCAGTGATCATTAGAGCATCATTATGAGGTCTTTCGACCTCTCCCTCGTCTGCTGGCCCGAAATTCATCACCGGACCGTTTTCCTCAACCTGCTGCACTTCAATTTTCCCGTGGTGGCCTCGAGCATACGCCTTTCTAGCTCGATTTGAATCTCCATCAGTCGGCCCTCCGAATATCATATGAATTATTCCTCTTTTCTGAGGGAGCTCCTCCTTGTCGGGTGTCCTCGCTCTCTTGCGAGGGCTCTTGCTTCTCTCCCTTCGCCGACTGGTTTTCTCTCGATCCTTATAAATGAACTCTTTCAGATAGCCTGCTTTGATTAGTCTCTCGATCTCATTTTTTAGGTGCCGACATTCGTCGGTATTATGCCCGTAATCCTTATGGAATCGATAATACAGATCACTTTTGGGCTTTTTCGGTCCATCCTTTCTCGTCTGTGGCCACCTGACGACACTTTCACAAATCTCTTTCTCCATTAGCTCCAATATCCTTGCATTCGAGGCCAATAGGGGTGTATATTGAGTTGTCCTCCATCCCTCGATCGCCCCTCCCTTTCTGGCTTCGGGGATCCCTTCCTCTCTACCGCCGTGATTGGTTTTTTATCCTTCTTCTCGTCCCGGGGTTCAGTTTTTGCTTTAGCCGCTTGCAAAAAGTCGGCTTCGGCTTCCTCGATAATCATGTATTTGGCAAATCTTCTTAAAGCCTCATCGAACGTCCTCCCGGGTCGTTTTGCTAAGGAGTTACTACACAATCCTGGGAGGAGCCCTCTAGCTAGTCCACCCGACTTGATTTCCTCTGTGGTCGAGGGGACGTCGATGCACGCCCGCGTGTATCTCGCCACGTAATCCCTCAATGATTCTCCTTCCTTCTGTTGCATGCCTATCAGAGTAAGGTAAGATTTCTCTTGGGCCATCACACTTGCAAATTGGTTTATAAAACTTGAGCTAAATCCATCAAAGTCCCTGACGGCTCCAGGGGCAATTGATAAAACCAGTCCTGCGCAGGCCTCGCAGAGTCGTCAGGAACGCTCGACATTGAACAGGGTCATTGTAGCGGTGCAGTACTGCCATGTTTTCAAAACTCGTCAGATGTAGGTAGGGATCAGTCGACCCTATCGTACCAGATGTTAAGCTCTCTGAACCCATGAGACAAGTCGGCGTCTAAAATATGTTGCGAAAAGGGGTGTCCTCTCGAGCTCCCCGTTTTTCTCCCCTCGACTCGAGCTTGTAGATCTCGCACCTGAACTAGCAGCTGTTCGAGAGTGTCATTCCTTGCTTGTGGATTGACCGTTCTGACAGAAGACTCCTCCTCGTCTGATCTCATATTCTGTCTTTCGTGGGATTGGGCTTGCTGCTCATGCTCTGGGGGAGGCTGTTCGATTTGAGGTTGCTCGACCCTTGGCCGGTCGATTCTGGGCTGTTCGACTTGCGTCTGTTTGAGTTGGGCCGCTACTGCCTCCGCAATCATCCTCTGCATCTCGCTTCTCGTCATGGTCAATGTCTGCTCCTCGACTTGGGGTGGCGGTCTTGTTTCCTGCTCAAGTCGCCCAGGCTGCCTCCCCATTCTCAAAGATGTCTCAGTCGATGCATGACCATCCATTCCTCCGCTCGTGTTTTTCACGTAACTGGCCTCCCCTTGTGTGAGCACTGGGATCTTGACTCCAGGCGGGGTGATAGGTGTCTCCTCTCCCATACGCGCCCCCGACGGCGCGTGTGCTCCGAACGGTGGAAAACGAAACACTTGGAGCGGTGGCCTGGGGTTGGGAATCGGCGGGGGCCACTTATCAGTCCATGTTGCCCAGAAATCCTCATTCAGATTCTTCTGTAATCCTTCATTCTCAGCCATTAGAGACAAATAAAAGCTAGGTGTAAAGCTCTTAATTCCTTCAAGAACTCCCCACAAACGGCGCCAAAATGATGGGTCTCCTCTCAGATCTGGAGTGAACCAATGGAAATCGCCCAGATCTGGAATGAACCGATGGGAATGAGCTCGGATCTGACTCGATAGCCTTCAAAATGATGGGTCTCCTCTCAGATCTAGAGTGAACCGATAAAAATCACTCAGGTCTGGAATGAACCGATGGGAATGAGCTCGGATCTGACTCGATAGCCTTCGAACCATCGATGAACCACGAGCAAACCTGCAAGAACTCAACGCCGAAGGGGTTCCGGCGTAGAGCATCCGACGCTCAAGTCAGTATGTGAAAGAGATGAAGGAAGCTGCCTTCAGAGCAGCAGCAGTAATGGAGGAAAGTATAGAATGAATGGGAGTTAGGGTTTTAGGGTTAACTCAGCTCCTTTATATAGAAGTAAAACATTTACCTGAAGTCCCCAAAATGCCCTGGCCGACTTACTGGAAATGTCCAGAATACCCTGGTCGGTTCGCATTCCGTCCATCTCATAGTCAGCATTTAGATTCCTTCTAATCCTTAATAGCTTCCCTCTGATATGTAGAAGTATACCGGAGTCATCAAGGATCCATGAGCCCCGAGGCTACCCCAGTCGACTCTAGATATCCACTCGGGTCGACTAGGTCATCCCTAACCGCTGGTAGACCCTAATACGCTTATTCATCCTTTCGGACGGAATCGATTTAGGCTAGCCGACATGGTAGAAGTCGACTAAGAAAAGCATCTGGGCCCTTTGACCGAATAAGTTATTACGAGGCAATCTATGGGTGGAGTCGACTTCGGGTAAGTCGACTCGGCTATGTCTGAATCGGGATAGCATAAATTGTTATACGATAGTATGGCTATATCACCCGTGTAGTACACATGTATCGTATTAGTTGATATATATTCTTCTTGAAAATATATAGATATTTGATTAAATATATTTTAATAAAATTTTTAATTTATAATTTAATTCTAGAGAGTTAGTTGATAAATTTGAACGACTAAGTAACATACAACAAAACCTTAAAAATCCTAAAATTAATATAATATAGGTTTATATTAAATAATGATTAGTAAAATAAGCGGGTGTTGTACTAGTAAAAATTTAGCCCTGCGACATATTATAGGGAAAATTTTATAACTGCTTCTTTTTTTAAATGATTTTACAAAGTAGTTGCAAGCCACACACAATACCCAATATACTCCATACATTAGACAAAAATACGTAGACACAAAAAGAATTAAAAATTAAAATTAAATAAAGATGCAATATTATTTTTAAAAACTACCTATTTAACATTCTTATCCATTTATTTCTCTCTCTTGAACATCCTTATCTATTTTTTTTTCTCTCTCCCTTTTTTTTCTCTCTCCCGTCTTTTTTTTCATTCTCTCTATTTCTCTTCTCTCTCCAATCTCTTTTCCCCCTTTTCTTCTTTTCCTCTTCTCCAAATATTTTTTCTTATTATTCTCCTCCAAACTTGAATACCTAAGTAAAAAAATAAAAAATAAAAAAACAACCAAAAAGATATAATATAAATGAAGAGAATAACATACATAACAATTAAATTAACTAAAAAACAACAATTTTTTTTTGTTATTATAACTATAGAAATTGATGACAAAAATTATGAAAACAAAAAACAAGATTAACAACAAAACAACAATATACAATTTGCAAGCAACATAAATACAACTATAAATCAATAATAAAATATTGACAAATTCAGTTTTATAAACAAATAAATTAATGGAACAACAAAAAGTCGTAACAAATTCATCAAAATTACACAAAACAATTAAAAAATTCATTAATAGTAATCTCATTTAGGTTCATTACCACGGGCAAAAAAATCAATGAAGTAACAACAAAACAACAACATAAAAATTATCAAGAAACATAAAAACAACTCTCAATTACCAAAAAAAAAAAAAATACATAATTCAACAGGAAATTCCATACCCAAACAACAACAAAACGTAAGGGTTTGAACTACTGCTCGTGACAAGTAATGCCTCCAATTAATGACTGGTAATATAATGTCAAAGTTTACAAGATAATTCCTGCAAAAACTAGCTCTCACTACACAAACACAATGAAATAAATTACAGAAATAATTGAAAAATCTAAAGCAACATATCTGATTATAAGACAAGTACCTAATTAGATTTTTCGAGGTAATGCGAGGAGCTTTGATGGCAGGACCGATTAAACTACTCCCCGTTATATATATTCCCCTAACAATTTCCAAAACTCAAAATAATCAGGCCGAAAAAAAAAAAGGAAAAATACAGAGCACGAGTACGAGTACGAGGTAATACGATACCAGGAGGCGCCGGGGACGGAGATGCCGATGGATATGGTGATTCCGATGGCGGAGAAGGTGTACGGAGAGATCGGAACCAAAGCTTGTCCCCATGAGGCGTATCACGTCACCATCGTGGTGTCCAGAAACTTGTTAAACTTCCAAATTTCTCTCTCTCTCTACCTCTTGTTGAGATCGGAAGAGAGAACAGATTTTTTCTGATCGAATTAATTCGATCGTGGGAGTATGATACTGTCAGACTAAAAAGATGTGTCATTTAATAAATTAAAAAATTAAACAAAAATTTAAAAACCACCTCACCGGTTACAAAATTAAATAATTAAAAATTTGTAAAATGGGTATACATGTAAATGAAACGGAGTATAATTGTATAAATAGAGAGCAACATCTTTAATGTAAAATGTGTAGAGAGAAAGTGAGGGAGCGTCATTATTTCCATATTATATTGGACTCTGAATTGAGCCCAAACCCACGAAACCTGTTCTTTACTTCTTTTGTTGTATAACAAGTGCAATTGATGACCCTTGATGCAGACAACAAAGGGATGCAAAAATGGTGGTGCCCCAGATTCTGAGAGCTCCTCCACCACGCAATGTCTTCACTCACTTCGCCTCTAAATTTCCCAACTCCGTCTTTCTGTCTGGTACATTTTCACTATCTTTTAGCTCTTGTTTGTAGGTGATTGACAGAAGATGAAAACTACTTATCCTTTTTTGTTTTTTTTGTGTGTACTAATTTTGAAGCTTTTACATGGGTTTTGATCATGTGCCCGAGTGCTTTATAGTCTTAATTTGCCGTATCTAACTGAAATTGTCTGTCTCTTTTTCTAACTATCTTGCTGGTGTTTGTATTTTTTGTGTTTTGAGTGTGCGATTCTGTGTAGTGCACAAAAATGTTTTTTGTTGATACATAGTTCCTGTTTTGTTTTTGTTTTTTTTTTTTCGGTTGGCTGTGTTATTTGATTATTGTTTATGCTGTTAATCAGCAAGAACTGCCAAGGTGCCCAGACATCACCAAGTCAGGAGCTTTGCAGCTTCGAGTTCAGAGAAGATTAAAGTGCAGAGAAAGTAAATTTCAACATTGCTTTTATCTCTCTTTCACTCATCTTTTCTCTTCTCTTTCTGATTGTATGTTGAGGCATGTGAGTTCAATCTTTTAAGGAAAAGGAGACTGGATGAAGTTTGCCTTGAAAGATTTCAGCAGTATAGTCGAACATTCATTCAGTCATGGATCGCACAAGGTAGGCCATCTAGTTTTAACCGAAAATTATTTGTGCTGATGTATCACATGAACCTCTTATTCACATGGATTGATTTGAATCTCGTTTTTGCACAATGGTATAATCGGAACTCTTAGATTTTGAAGGATATGTTATGAGGAATCATATATTTTGTGGTGTTGTGTCAAATGCTAGTGCTATGTATTATTAGCTGCTGAAGCTATGACCTTTTGATGTGTACGACTTTAAAGACGTTGAAGTCCATCTTTGCTCATTTAGGCTTCAGTGTATCAGAAAAGTCCATTATGTTATTCGGTTTCTCTTATTTGCTGAAACTGACCTCTTAATCTTCTTTCCTTTGCTATTCTTAGATACTTCGTTAATAATGCACAGTCATTGATCATTAGAAACCAGCTATCACTTGTTGAAAACTCAATTTACAAAGTGAATTGAGAGGGACAGTATCATTTTGTTTAATGTAGTTAGCAATATACTGGGATTTGGTGTAATAAACTATAGATTATTCTTCATGGATATATAGAAAATTTTATCATGTTATTTACCTCACCACACTCCAGGTGCTTCCGTAGTTGTTGATACTAAACAGTAAACCCCTGAGCTTTATCAGCAAAACACGGTATTGTTTCTGCCATTACCTGTTTTGAGGCTTGAAACTTGGCATTAACTTTTCCAACCTCTTTGGAATGGAGATGTGACTTTATTTAATGATTAAGTCTGAGTTTTGCTCCTTTCTGCCAATAACCGAGTATATGCATTCATTTATCTGAGATCTTGTTAAAAGTTTGGGAAGTTTTGAAAATAATATCTCATAAATAAAAAAAAAAAGGTATTAGCCAATTTATGTAACAGATTATAATGAAATGGTTGAAATTCAATTATTCGCCAGTGCTAATAATCTATGCACATTCAGAGTTTCTCGGTCAGCAGAACCTAAAAGAATCGCAAAATTCTGCTAATTTATTTCTCAGGTAAAGTAATTGTTGATGGAAAAGTTGTAAACAAAAGTGGCACTCCCATTTCCGACAAAGCCGTTGTGGAGATCAAGGCTGAAGTTCCGAAATATGTATGTAGGTGATTACTCTCTCTATACAGCATGTATCTCTATCTCTATCCTGACTAATGTGTATTTTGTCACTCTTAATTGTTAACTGTATTAACCCAATCCTAAATAATATACCTACAGAGCAGGACACAAACTAGAGGCTGCTATAGAGCAACTACAGATCGATGTTTCAGGATTAGTGGCTCTTGATTCAGGACTCTCAACCGGTGGATTCACAGATTGTTTGCTTCAATATGGTGCTTCATTTGTTTATGGTGTTGATGTCGGTTATGGACAGGTAGACTTTTAGAGCTCAAATCTTGAGCAAAGAGGCTGTTTGATTTGTTTAGTTAATACTTGAACTACTTTATTCCACTCACTGGGGGCATGCAGCATTGTCTTTTAGGCTACAATATGTTGTACGCTGTTTTCTTGCAAGTTTAGTTATCCTAGGGCACGCAGAATGTTATGTTATTTCTTCTAATGAGAATGATTTTTTTTTGTTGTAATAACAAAAGCAAATTTTACTATGTGGTGTCTATCTTGGGCTAGATTTGACAAATATGCATTACATGCTAGGTAGTAAGTTCTAACAACCACTGTTTCCTAAACCCTTCACTGTATTGACATTTAAAGTCAATTATCACTTCTTTGTGAGAAGGTATAAACTTAAATAAATTGCCTAAAAGCTGGTGATAAAAGTAGACAGACTCAAATCATTAGTGGTGAAGTGTTATTCCTACTACAAAAAGAATTTATATTTATGTTTGCTTTATGGTCCCATTCCATCTCGCGATTAATTGAGGTTTCTTTTTTTTTTTTTTTTCCTTAGGTGGCTGAGAAAATACGTCAACACGATTGTGTTAGTGTTGTTGAGCGGACGAATTTGAGATACCTATCTGAACTCCCTCAGAAGGTCGATCTAGTTACTCTCGACCTTTCCTTTATTTCCATCCTTACAGTAAGTTACTACTCAGAAGCTACTCTGACATTTTTTTCACTGATTCCACTCGGTCATTTATTTTACTAGTGCTTATAAGTAAATACAAAATTTTCTCTTGCCCCTTTTTTATCTTTTCTTTCTTTTCTGGTTGTTTCCTTTTCTGTTCTGGTGGTGATGGAGTATTATATTTTTTTTCCTTCAAATTTCCAGGTAATGCCTGCCGTTGTTAATTTGATGAAAAATGACGCTACACTAGTTACTTTGATTAAACCGCAGTTTGAGGCACTCCGATCACAGGTATGTGGAACAGTGGAAGTATCCATCCTGCGTCTTCTAATACTTCCATTTCCTTCGGTTTATGATCTGAACTGTAATAATTTGATTAAACAGTAATCTGAGTGCAATTTATAAAATCATTTAGCATTGCCACTTTGCCAAAGTGAACCCAGATTCATTAATCACACTCGGTCTAAGCACGTGTGGAAATTCCATGCTCAAGAGTAGATTGAATTCGTTAGAGCATTTCAATCCTTTTCCACAACTAATAATTAAGTTAAGGTGGCGAGATGGTTTAAGTCATGTTAAAGTACTTGCGACAATGACAAAATCTGAAGTCGGGAAAAGAATTATCCGCGAATGCATGTATACGTTGAAGGTTCCTACTTTATTGTTAGGTTCCTCCATAAATAAAGGACCCTGTTTTAGGCAATTCTAGTCTTGGTGTGAATTGGAGAGTTGTGTATCATTTGTGATTTGTTGGTTTATATCTCTAAATTTCAATTGTCTTTCAGGTGGGAAGCGGTGGGATTGTTCGAAATCCCTCAGTCCATGAGGAGGTAATCAGTTATGGTAATCAGTTTATACTGGTGAACGAAAAAATTTGAAAGACTTGCTTAGAAGATCTAAAAGCATGGTCAATCCTGTTTGCGTCAAAGAACAAACTTTAAGTTGGCTAATTGCTAACATAATATTCTATAATGCTCTCTCTTTCGGGATTTTCTTACAAGACACTTGTGAGAACCCACTACACATAAATTCTCGCACACCGTTTGTGTCTTTACAAGCTTATGTTTGTCGTTATTTAGGTTCTCGCTAAGATCATAAATGGTGTGCAAGAATTCGGCTTTCAGTGCAAAGGCTGGATCGAGTCGCCACTGAAGGGGGCTGAAGGAAACAAGGAGTTTCTGGCTTGTTTCAGCCGAATGGACATGAAAGATGCAGATACCTCAGTCCCGAAAGCAGATATTGCTAAATTGCATAGGGGTACCAAAGCCACACAAGAGTAACACACGACGTATGTGCCTGCTTTAATACGCAGCAACAAGAGTTATTATGGTTCTCTTATACAGAAGATATGCATAGGGGTACCGATTGAACTTTGTTTTGTCGGGGGATTATATTTTTGAATGTCTGTTTTCTTTATTTAGTTGTGAGCTAGGTTACTCTTGTTTCAATTCATGTGCTAATAATAGTGTCTGTTAGACTTGGATGTAGACCATTGACTTTTTAGTCCTTTTGGGTCATTATATTTACAGGTCGGGAGTATAGCCTCAACCCTCCATCCCAATCTGGGATGTTTATTTTTTTAAAAAAAAAAAAATGATAAATTTTGGTGGTGCATTTCAAATTTCAGTTGCAGAGGTGGTGTCGTCTGAAAAGTGTACCGCATCAAGAATGAACTTAAATTAGGGGCGCCTAAATGATGTTAGTGTAAGATAATCCATCAAGATTGAGTTCGATAGATAAAAATGCACCACTTTATAATTATCGAATTTTACTAGTACAATACCCGTGTATAACCCGGGTGTCGAATTAAAAAAATATATTATAAAAGTTATTGTTAAAATATTTAAAAATTTTGATGGACTAATTAATGACAAAAAAGGAATAAACAGTGCAGAAAGTGATTTGTAAATCGTAATTTAAGAGAGAAATATGCGAGAAAATTATAAGATTCTAAGATTATTACTTGCCTAAATTAAGAAAGGAATTTGTACTAAGAGAAAATAATAACAAAATTAAATGTACACTTACCAACTTTGAAAAAAGTTATTCATGTGTATACCAAGCCTAATTCCAAATCAAATAGATCTATATCTATATAATGGACTGATCCTTATTGCCATAATTGACATGATTTTAGGAGGAAATTTTTTTTGTCTTTATTTGGTTTAACTAATATTTCTTTATTAGCAAATCTTATGCATGAAAACCATAATTAATTTTTATACGCTCAATTACTATTACTCATTAACTACAAATTGGCTTAATTTGAAATTTTGACCGTAGATTTATTATATATTTTCAATAAGATCTTATATTAATTTAATAGTAATTTATTGACACAATTCAAAAAAATATTATAGAAATATATTTGATTAAATATATTATCATCTATGGCTGTAGGTATTAATTTAATTAATTGTATTCACTATTCAGAAGTACTTAAAATGTCTAATACAATAATCAGAATATCTATGTTTAAATCATAATAACTTATTAAATAATTCAAAATATTAATAAAAGTTTCTAAAAATGTAGTCAATTTAACTATAAAAAGATACATCTCCATTAAATATATCGTATTAAGTGATAATACTATTGGAAAATAAATAATATAGTAACAAAAAATAAAATTTGATGGTCGGGTGCAACTCAAATTATAAATTTCACCTTAGAAGTATTTGTGTACATTAAAAAACTATTCAATTTTTAAAAAATATATTTGTTTCTTATATACTATTTTATAAATAACTCTGCCTATGTTATCTCAACATAGCAGGTCTCAAGCCATGGTAAAGGAGGAGGGTTGTAAAAGGCAATGCGAGCCAACGTAAAACCTAGCCGTTCTATGGAGATACTATTTTGTTTTTTTAAATAAAAGAAGTTAATAAAAAAAGCAAGGTATAATAATTAAAATTATAGCACTTGGTAATTAGAAATATATAATATATCTAGATATTCGAATAGATACTATGTAACTCATTATATAGGTTGGAAAAGTGAATTAGAAAAAAAAAAATTGAAAAATGAAAACATAAAAATGAAAGATTAAACCATAAAAAAATTGTGTGTTGCATAAGGATTAAAGTTACTACAAATTAAAATTTATTTAACAAAATTTTTAACATTTAATGCACTTAATAATTATAGCGGAAGATAATACTATGAGTTAAACGTTAGTCAATTATCAAGCAATGTGCCAATTATGAATTGTTAGAAAATATAATATTATGATAAACGATAATTTTATAAGTACATACACGTAATATGTATGCAAATATCATATGATTTATACATTTATAATATATTATAAAGTTGTAAATAATAAAATTTATATATCAAAGAGTCAAAAACTACAAAAAAATATACAAAATAGAATTTAACAATAATAGTACATAAATAAATGTCATATTATTATTGAATAGAATATTGTGAATAATATAATTTCATATTGTCTTAAATAATTTTTATAATTAAAATAAAAATATTTTTTTATATTACACCTCGTGCATCGCACGAGTATCAACACTAGTAATATAAAACACGTTTTGAAGCGTGTGAGTCTACCACCTAGGCCCAACACGTTTTGAATTAATATATTGGAAAGGATATGAGATTCTTTCTAAATTTATTAGATTTTGTAGTTAGATAAATATGGACAAAAAAAATCAATTAAGTTGAACAGTCTGAGATGTAAATATTAATTTTTGAAATTAACATTATTTATTTAATAAATACAAATTTTTAGTTGTGCCATAAATAATGAGATTTGTGGATAAATAAATATGGATAAAATATATATGTAACAGCTACATTTGCATGACTTCACGAAAATATTTCAAAAAAATTCAATGTTTTATTCATTAAATGATTGACAAGATTTTTCTAACCCAATGAAGCATTATTTTCAAGATTTTTTCTCATTATTGTCTAGATTTACCCGTGGCATTTAAAAAATCATTACCATAGTTTTAGATATTATGGTTTACACAAAATCTTTCTCAAATAACAAATATATAAATATATATATTTAGAAATTTGAATTCAAATTTTCATTCAGCCGTCGTTTAAAAAAAATACTAATAATAACTTTGAAACTTTTAAACGGAAATTTTCATATAATTTCAAGTAAATCCCTATCTCTATTATTTAGTAATATATATATATAT